AGGCAGGGCTGGGATGAGGCCACAGCATCGCTCCAGCTCTGGGGCTGACCACCACCACCATCATCATCCCATTCCCGGGAATTACAGACACTCAAAACAGCCGTTTTCATACACAACCAAACCATTTCTGCACCCTGGGCTCTCTCTGCACCCCCACACAGCACCTTCCCTGGGACACGTCTGAGGAGAGGCGGGGATGGGGAAAAGGATGCTTATTTATTCCAAGTCAAGGCTGGCGATGGCAGTACTGGTGTCACCGGGTACTGGTGGAACTGGGCCGTTTGGCAGGCTCTGGTGGGGTAAAAACACCGGTGAGGAGACAGCATGGGCAGGGGTAGACAGGGGGGATGGTGACAAAGGGGAATAACATTGGATAGCCCTTGGGATATGGGATATGGCCATATGAATTATTTGGCGAAGCCAAGTGTCTGGGCAAAACCCTCTGATGCTGAACTCCTCATCACCACCCCTGGGTGTTTGCAAGGCAGTGCACAGGACATCCAAAAATTACATCCTTGTTGCTCTCCTCCACCCTGGGAAGGTGGATGGAAACATCTCCTGGGTGTGCTCCTCCAGGGCATGGCTGTGTGGGCTCCCCAGTCTTCGTGCTGCAGATTGGTCTGGCCAAACAGCAACATCCAAACCTCTGAGACATGGAATGGGGCTGAACACAACGTCACGGGGAGAGGGATCCCCAACCTGTCCTGTCCTGGGGAGATGGGGCTGAAGGATGAGGGAAGGACAAAGGATGGGTGGATGAAGGATGGTGTTGCCCACATACAGCCTCCAGCATCTGGAGGACTGTTTCTCATCTGTTCTGCTCCATCCCCCCCAAAAAAACGACAGAGTTCTGAAGGGGGGGTTCTGAACCCCTGAAGGGTTCTTCCTGGCCCTCAAAACAGAAGCAACCTCCCCTGGGTTCCTCAAGTCTCTGAGGCAGATCCCAGACCTGCATCCCTCTGGTTGCGCCTTCTTGAGGGAGAGAAAACCCTGACACCAGTTTAATGACAGCCAGGCTCCCCCCTCTAATTACTACAATATCAGGCAGAAAAAGTGACTTCTCGCACTCAACCAGAGCAGGATGAAGCAAAAAAAAATATCAGGTACCTTCAACTACTGTCCCTGGGTAGCAAGGGGACCTCCCTGTGCCCAGCCCCAAAGCCCTGCCACAGCTCAGGGCTTCGCCACAGCTCACCCCACACCAATGCCATCGCCAAAACTGCCCATTTCGCTTCACCAAGCCCAGCAGCATCAATGGGCAATGGCCTGGGGCAGCATCCAGCAGGCAATGTGGGACGGAGCTGAATTCTGTGGACATCGAAGGTGTCTCACATGCAGCAATTCACAAGGGAAGGGTAAAAAGGGATCCATGGGCTGGTGCAGACAGCATGGAAATGCAGGGGAACCATTGCCTGAAAAGCTTTGCAGAGGCGTCAGGAGGGGTCCAGGTTGGTCCCTGACAAGGGACACTGCATGCCCAGTGTCCCCTTTACCACAGCGTGAGCCCAGGCAGCTGCCAAGCCCCTGCCCCCACTCCTGTCCCTCGTCCCCGCTCTGTCCAGGGCTGCATACACGAAGGGACGGAACTGACGGAACTAAAAACAGCAAAGACCAAACCAATGGTGCGAACAGGCAGAAACTCAAGAGCTCCTCTCGGGGTCCTTGCTCCAGCTCAGAGCATGTCCCCACCAAGGGCAAAACCTGCTGGCAGCCATCTGGGCTCCTCTGAAGAGCAGCATCGACTCCACCACAACTGAAACAGCAACATCTCTTCTCCAAATATCCATCCTTCCCTCCTGGGAAATGGCCTCGGCTCCTCCTGTCCTCCTCCTCCCCTCCCTGGCTTCCTCTCCAGCTGCTTTAGAGACACCTGGGCAGCGCCGCGGGGCCGCATCCTGCACACAGCAACCCCATCACCGTGCCTCAATGCGACGCAGGGACAGGACGAGTCATGGCATCCGACCCGCAGCCGCTCGGACACGCTCGGGGCGGGAAGGAAAGATGGAGAGTGGAGGGGGAAGACGGGGAGCAGCCGACACGTCCCCACGTCCTGTCGTTTTTCTGGATCGGATGGGTTCTCTCCTTGGGTCCTTCACTGTTTCCCTCCTCATCTCCAGTGGGAACGCAACGTCCGAGCGCGAAACGCGCGGTGGGCACAACCCCAGCGCAAGCCCTTGCCGCTGCTCTCCTGGCCAGGTGCTATCTGGTCTCCAGGGACTCCAGGTATTCCAGTGCTATGTCATAGCAGAAGTGATACTGCTCCTGTTCAGAGAGAGAAAAGAGGGTGTTACAACCCCGAGTAAACTATGAGCCATCCCTCGGATCCAAAGGCCAGTGCCAAACTTCCTGCATTTCGGGGGCACACAGCACCTTCGTCTCCCCCAAAGGAACGACAAGCACCGTGATGTCCCCTTACCATGAAAATATGGTTTATTTACTGCAGTAGAGTACAAACCAGCCTGCACCAGTGCGGGGCTCCACTGACCAGCCTCACCCACGTCTGACCTCACGGAAACGATGGGGCCGATGGTCAGAGGTGTCCGAAATAAAACCCTGGGCATGAAATTGAGGAGTGTTTTTAATTCTGGTTTCAGCAGAGGCTGCAAATGGGGAGCGTGCCCGGGTGAGCATCCATGGTCTGGGTGTGGGATCTGCCCTGCCCCAGCTGCCAGGACATTTCTCATCACAAATTCTCCTGCTGCAGATAAAAAAATGCCATTTTCCATCCCTGGCAGGAATATGGTCTGGGCATTTGCTTTGCGTGGGGGGAGAGGCACGAAGGGAAGTCCCAGAAGCTTTCACTTCCCAAAAATCCAAACTTTCCAAGAGAAGTGCCAAAGAATTGAGAGTTTTGGTGCTCAGGGCAAAGTCTGAGCCGCCTGCGATGGCAGGGCTGGAGCCAAGGGTGCAGGACCTGGCTCCCTCTCCCATCCCTTCCCTTTCCTGAGCCAGTACGGGCGCTGTCAGCATCCTCCCACTCTTTGCTCCCCCCCAGTTGCACAAGGAAAAGCCCAGCATGGCTGGCTCCTGCTGTTATAGCAAAAATCCCCAAAACTGGGCTTGCAAAGGTGGTCTCATCCATCCTTGTCCTCCTGTTCCTGCGCTCTCCTGTCCTTGTACAACTCCCAGCACAGAAAACCACAGGGGAGTTCAGAAGTGCCCGTCCCCATGAGATGCTGCTCCTTGAAACTTCCAACAACCAAAAGCAGCCAGAGGAGGGGGAAAAACCCCAAATAAATCAGGTTTTGGATGACATGAGATGGGAGCATCCTGGGTGCAACAGCAGGGAGGGAAAAGAGCGAGCGCATCTCCCAAAATCCTCATCAAAGCTTGAGCACGAGCACAAAAATCCTGTTATCCCCCATGCGGGTGGGCGGCTGCTGGGGACCCCAGGTGGGAGCAGGGCTTCGGAGCGAGGAGGCTGCGACAGCTCAGATTAAAAGCACATAATGCTTTTTGGATTAAGAAAAAGGATTGTTTCCATTTATCATCGTATAAAAATAAACGGGCAGCGGGAAACCGCTCCGCGCCGGCTGCTCTCCGCTGGGCTGCGGCTCTTTACGCCGGGCGAGGATCCGACCTCCCAGTGACTCCAGTAGATTGGGAGTCCCAGAATAGACGGTTCAGGTTCATTTAAGGCTGGAGGATGCCTGCGTCCTGATGTGAAATGTTGCCTTTTTTTAATACCTTTGCAATTTAGCCCGATGGGTCTGGTGGCTTCATGCTTGTCACATCATCTTTCCATTATCTGCATCCCTCCCTCTGCTCCCCATCCCCTCCCTCACCTTCTCCTCCACTCCAATTCCTAATGCAAATCACATCCCCTCTAAAAACCATTTCATTTTGCAACTTAGGGATTTTATCATCTAAACAGGGTAAACATTTCCATCTGACTTGCTTTTAAAACATGGCCAGGCACCTGGATTCTTCCCCCATGGGGACAGACACGCACCCACTCCATCCCCTGTCCTGTTATCGAGGGGTTGAAATGGGGCACAGACTTTCCACCCTAACTCGCTGCCACCTCCAGCCTCCCCATCATGAAACATGGGCTCCATCGCTGCCCCCAGCTCATCCATCAATTAATTTCACTCAAAACACAGCTCCCTTTCATATTTCCAACAGGAATTCGTCTGACTCCACCTCAGAGTCGCTCCCGGCGCTGTAAACCCTCCAAAGAGCTGCAATTACATCCCATGAATTAATGCAAACCTGCCTTATTACTCCTGGGAAGGATTTCCGACAAGCCTGACACCGGCGCCAAGGACATGTCGGCACGGCGAGATGAAGGCAAGCCCGAGGCTGCTTTCACGCGCTGCCTCGCCTCCCTGTCCGCCCCAGCCCGCGGCACAGCACCAGCACGCTCGCAGAGACATGCTCTGCATGAGGATGCTCATAATGTTTATGAGGATTTGGGATAGAAAAGGAGGTTTTTTGGGAGGTGAACAACCCCCGGCACCTCTCATCCCTGCCGGAGGGACACTGGCGGTGTCTGGTGCTTACCAAGGTCTCTACCATATTTGGCTTGTAGTTGCGGAGGGTCTTTGCAGCATAGAAAACATCAGCCATGTTGTGACACTTGATCATCTCCAGGATCATGGTGGAGGCACAGAAGGTGCCACTCCGGCCACCTCCGTTCCTGGTGGGAGAAACACAGCAGTGGTGAGAAGATGGCACTGGAGCATCTATCTTCCTGCATCCTTTAATTCCCTCCTTTCTCTACCTATCCCTGCATCCCACATGTCCCAGAGCAGGGGCTCATACTCCAGAGTCCCTCCAGCTTGGGGGATCTGAACCAAACGCATGTGGTGGCAGGAGCTGTGATCCTGCCCTCTGGTCCTCACAAGAGCCACACCAGAGCAAGAAAACACCTTTTTGGACCATTTGGGGCTGGATCTTGGACATCTGGGCTCAGTTTCCAGCCCCGCCATGGACCAATTCCTTGTGTGACCTTGGAGAAGCCACTTTGTCCCTCTTCCCATCTGCAGGGTGACCCTGAGCCAATGCCCTGTTGAGTGGCACTGCCTGGAGGAACCACTCGATGTTTCAGAGTTTGATGGGTGCATGGCCTGCCCCCCAGCCTGGCCTGAAAGCATCCCACACCACCACGGCCAATTCCTGGCAGTGAAGGGGACTGGGGAGAGGAAGAGAGACCACGCCGCCAGGGTTTTATAAAGCATGTTCTCAAATTATCCCTCAGCTAACAAAGATGGACAAGGCTGTAATTAATTTTTGATTAAAGGCTCGCTTGCTGTCTCTACCAATCTGTGAGTGTGCTAGGTCCCATCCGAGGAGAGCACGCATAGGTGTTTGTGTGAGCCAAATCTGGCAAGGAGGAGGAGGATTGAGAGGAGGGGGCAGTGGGAGATGCACAGCTCCTGTCGAGTCCCTTCACAGCCTGTGACACGCGTGGGACATGGTGACATGGCTGGGACCGGGGTGAATGGTGGGGATGCTGCCAGCGGGTGTCATTCCCATTGAGCATCCACCTCCTGGAGGAGATTTGGCATGGGGACCACGAGGTGTCTCACCCAAAACTCATGTAGTGGGAGAGACAGAACCACCAGGGCACAAAGTCACCCCAGTGAGGGCTTGTTAGAGGATTTCCAGGCAGGATTGTGGACGTGCAAGGTGGTGGCATCTGCCCCCATGGCAGAGCCTGCTCCTCTCCAGCTGACACTCACAGGCAATGCACCACTGTCCTGCCATCGCCGCTCTCCTTCTGCCACCTCTCCACTTGGTCCAGGAGGTGCAGGAAGGATTTCTTGGAGTCCGGGATGTCTCGATATGCCGACCACCGCAGGTACTGGAAATGCCGGACCATCAGGTGCCCCTCCTGCAACTAGAAAAGCAAACCTCATCAGCTTGAACCCATGGGCTGCCCCCATTTCCTCCACTGGAGGTTTCACGGAGGGCAAGAGGGGTTTGCCATACCTAATAGTAGAGGAAGAGAGGAAAACCCTTTCCCAGTGCAAAACCTGATGGTTCAATCCTCTCCTCTGCAGCTCACACTGGTCCCACCACCCCATCCCAGCTGGGGGAAGCTCCGTTGATGCAGTTTATCCTAACTCACAGCATCTCGGGTTGTCTGTGCATCTCCCCAAACATCTTACCAGACCCCTAAGCACCCCCAAGGCTTCTCCATCACATCCTTGTCTTGCACGAGGAAGATCCGAGGGGATGGGTTTTGTCGTGTTCGCTGTAAACCAGGAGCCTGATGAGGAGCTGCCGCCCACAGAAGCGGGGAGCGGTGGAAGTGAGCATTAATACCCTGGTAATCTGGTTAGTTTTGAAACCTAATCTGGTTAGCGGGCTCCAGGAGGAGGATTACATCCATGAAGCTGAACGAGGCCAGGCTTTAGGAAGGCAGATGTGGGGCTCTTGCTCAGAAGTACTCGGGGCATCGGGAGTACTGATAGGACAAAACCACGGGTCACAGCCGCATCCCGGGGCTTGGCACACATGTGGGGAGCATGCATTGGAGGAGAAAGGGAGGGATCAGATGCAGATGGAGGATCCCCAGCTCTGGAGGGCTCCATCCACTCCACTTCCAGTGCCTGATGTGCAGGGGCAGCACCAGACCATCTCCAACCCGTGGGATTTTCAGGAGCTTCAACATGGGTTCATGGCATGGCTGGGATGGTCTCACCTCCCTGGGCTCAAGCTTTTGCTTTCAGGTGGAAGCCAGGAAGGCAGAGGGGAAAGATGAAACAAATCAGTGGAGTTAAAACCAGAGCAAACTCCTCTGACAGCCCAGGAAGGAAAGCTTTGGCATCTGCTTTGAAGCTCAGGTGAAGGCTCTGGAGGACCTGTGACACCACCAAAGCCCAGATCCCCTCCAGTTGGCAAGGCTTGACAAGAAGCAGCTCTTTGCATTTACCAGCGCTCCTCCAGCGAACTGCTGCTGCCTGGGGAAACGTCCTCTTAGATCCAGAGATTTCAGTCACGCTGCATTTTAATTTAGCACGGGGTATATTTGACCACCTGAGAGCAAAGCACATTTGGTGAAGAATTTTGTGCTGACACCCAGGAAATGCCAGATGCTCCCACAGGAAGCGCAAACTAAAACCCTCTTTGTGTTAAGAGTCCAAATAACCAGGATTTATCTCCTCTAGCCCAGCTCCCACATCGAAGCACCCTTCCCAGCTGGGCCCCCAGCCAAGCCACACGCTCCCTTCCAAGCTCCCCAATTCCCATCTGCCTGATGACCACCATGAAGGCATTGGCCTCAGTTTCTTGACAGCCCTCAGGAGATTTAAAGACCTCAGGGATGCCACCTCTTCACGGTTGGCTTTTGTAATGAAATCAGCTTTTTTTTCCCCACATACAGTTCTGTACTCATCGCAGCTCATCGCAGTCCCTGTCCCTTCCCAACTTCTCTGCGTTTCTCTTCATTTAAAGGCAAGCTGTACCAGCAAGGAAGGCATCAATGCAACAAGGACAAGAGGTGAAAACCTGCGCAGATCTTCTCACCCTGCAGGAAAACGGCTCTGCTGATCCCAGGGAAGCCACCGTGCCCATGCAAGGACTCTCCATCCTGTGGTACGTGTGGGGCAGAGATAGACCTCCAGGCAGGATGAGAAAGGTCTTCCTACAGAGTTATCCAAAATCTTGTGGAGACTCCAGAAAGGTTGAATGGAGCCAACAGTGCTTTGACGGACTCCTCTCTGCCAGGATGGGAGCTGGGGCTGCATCCTCTGGAGGAGCTGGGTTAGGCTGAAGAAGACACCAGCATCTACAGCACTGTCCAGCTGGATTATATGGAGAATTGCCTGGCTGGGCAATGCCAGGCTCTAGGACTGCATGGCCTCACCAGATGCATCATCCTTCTGCTCTCCAAGGAACTCTTCACTCATACGAAGAAACTCTTTGCGATGTTCCAGCCCTTACCCAAAGCAGCAGCTAACAGAAGTAATCCATCCCCTGCACACAAGCTCACCCAACCCAGACCTCTACACTGGGAGATGCCTGGGGGCACCTGAACACACACAAACACCCCCTGGCCATGCATGGAGCCAGAGGAGAGACCCTCACCCGTGTGATGTTCTGGACTCGGAAGAGACGGGACACGATGTCCTCATCCGCCGCTCCGGACACATACTCCACCTCCATCGGGCCGTACTGCTGGAGTCCCGGCTCAGGCCAGTACTGCAAGCAGGGCTGCAGAGAGAAAAGGCACAGCTCACTGTGAGCGGGGATGTGCACTGGGACACGGGCATCATGCATCACAGGCAACATCGAGTGGAATGGAGTGGTTGGTGCTGGACACCAAGAGAAGTCCTGGCACAGGAGTGGCCCCAAGATGGGATGCTGGACCCACAATGCTGTTACTCACACAGGACCCACTGCTGGGTGGAGGATCCCTCAGCTTGTTGAGGCATCAAAGCTAAAAGCTCAGGTCCACCTGCCAGCATCCACACAGCCCTTTCCCCCCTGCACACACACAACAGCTGATGGTCCTGGAGATGGACTTTGCTGGTCCAGGAGGATGCAGGATGGGCCCTGCCTCAGCCCTGGCCATTGCAGGCCTGATCCTGCACCAAGGTGGAACAGGGTCTGGCTGCTCCAAGGCTGCTTTCAAACCCCACCAGCTTCAGAAGCAGCTCTGCCACCAGTAGCACCAGCAACATGGGACGACAGTCCCCTCGCCCTATGGCCAAGCCATCCCTCCACTTCAAAGCCATCCCAGCCTGCAGCTCAGGAAAGGGCTGGGGAGCAACCCCGGGTCCCCACCATGGCACTGATGGATGGCTGGGTCCAAGGGTCACGGATGTGAATGTTTTCACACTGTGACAAAAGGGAAACCAGCACTGACACAAAATATATGATGTTTGTCACCGCACTTTAACAGGGCATTTAGCATTTCAGGCCATCTAACGGCTTGGGCCTAACTGCACGGCAAATGTGTTTGAGAAATAATTGCTTATTAATAGGGGCTATAAATCTCCAAGATCTCGAAGCCTTCTAGACTCAGAGCTATAATTTGGATATTAAAACTTCCTTCGGCAAGATGAAGTTCAAGTGAGGGATTTGCCCTCTAAGTCACCTTTCAGAGCTGCCTGCTGTAAAGGTTGATTTATTACCTGTTGGTCCTAAACTGGTAAACATTTAGGATCCAGCTAAATATTGTAACACAGACATCCCTGAAGAACAGACATCCAGAGAGAGAGGCAGAGCTGAATAATGAAGAAAAATGGCAGAGCCAGGGGACAGCAGCCACTGCAGCGGACGGGGACCTGGGGGAGGATGGCACAGGAGCAGGCAGCTCCTGCGGGGCTGAAGGGCGTTTCTGGACCATGGAGTGAAAGAGCAGGTTGAGAGAGAGAAATAAAACGGGGTTTGCTGCCTCCTTCCCTGCCGTGGTCATTGCTGCTGGGCTCAGCTGATGTCTGTGCTGCAGGCAGGAGGTGCTGGATGGTCACAGTGAAGGGACAGTAAAACAGTGGCACTGCTGCAGGGCTGGGGTTTCAAAGGGCATGGGGTTCCCAGCAGGGATCTCCTGAGAGTAAATGTGAATCAAAGTGGAAAATGCTCTCGGAAGCACCAGAGCCCCCCTAGTTGGACCTGCGCTGCTCAGGTAACACAGTTGCTCTCCTCCATGGCCACACCTGCAGGCAAGGCCCTCCCAGCCTTCAGGCCTCAGCCCCTCTGCATGCAGAGGGAGGCCAGGCCTGGTCCAGGCAGGTCTGTCCATCGGGAGCAAAGCCTGCGAGGCTCAGGGCAGCCACCATTGCCAGCCAGGGCTCCATGTGATGATGTGCACAGTGTTGTCCTTGTGCCAGGACCGCAGAGCCTGCCCACCCCTGTCAGAGCCACCCTTGGGTGCTGGCTGTGCACAAACACGCTCTGCTCTGCACTCGCAGAGGCACAGAGAGGCAACAGCCATCACCAGAACCCGCTTCTCGTGTTTTCAGCTGAAAACACCCTTCATGGCTCTACTCAGAGCATCTCCTGGGCAGTCCTTGAATGGCTGCTCACTGTCTCATGGATCTGTGTGTGTGTGTCTCAGCAGTGTAGCAGGTTGCTAACCATTTCCCCTTGGATTATGGGGGCTTCATTCTTCTTCACTGTATCATTTTGGGAACGTTGTGCCTAGGTTGGCCTCCATCACCCACAAGGCCTTCTCTGTCCACAAACAACAGGTCCAGCAGGTGCCTTCCCTAGCTGGCTCCCTCACCAATGGTGTCAGGAAGTTACACACACTCCAGGAGCCCCTGAGACCGTTTCCTCTCTGCTGCATTGTATTTCTAGCAGACATTTGGGAAGTTGAAGTCCTCCATGAGAACAAGGACTAGTGATCGTGAGACTTCTCCCAGATGCTTATAGAATATTTCATCTGCCTCTTCATCGTGGTTGAGTGGTCTATAACAGACTCCCACCATGGTATCTGCCTTGTTGGCCTTTCTCTTGATTCCTACTCATGACCACTTGTGCTTTTCATCACCATCGTCAAGCTCTGGACAGTCAAAGCAGTCCCAGTTGCTGGAAGGAGCCTCTCCAACCACCCCAGTCACACAAACCTGCTCATTTCACCGTATCCATGGGCAGACAGCTTCGTTAAATGTGAACAGGATCTAGGAGCAACTCCTCTGAGCAAGCCTACGAGCTGGAAACAACTCTGGGGCCAGCCCTGCCTCCTTTCTCATCAAACCTCTGCAAGGCAAGAGACACTCCCAGGACGTCCCTCAATGCTCAGGGTCTGCTTAATGTCACCCCACACAAGGGTCCTTCGGAGCACGTGGCCTTAGCTCAGCACAGAGGGACACAGGGGTGTGCTCTGTAGCTCTGCACATGTCCCACATATTTATATATATAAATAAATACCAGCATATTTACACGCCAGTCAGCACCGCATCCATCTGCATCCTCGTGACGAATGGTACAACTGCCGTTTTGGGTCATTTACATCGAGTATCTGATCTCAACTTGTAAAATAAGCCAGCTAATGAAGTCTTCTCCAGACATCCATTAAGAGTCTATAATGTCAATTTTATGTAAAAATCCAATACGCTTCCTCATTGAATTAACATTACAGACCTGTAGCAGACTTTTACATCCGCTCTGGCAGCAGCGGGAGCACTCCAGGCATGGCCCTGGGGAGCAGTGCACTGGGAGAGCAATGTAAGACAAGGCTGAGCATGGCTCCCCCCTACTACCTGGCTTCTGTCCCCTCTCCCCCAGGTGACAGGGGACACCTCTCCTCCAGTTTGGCAGATCTGCACATTCCATCAAACCATAAAACCCACAGGACAGCTGCTTCGCAGCAGGATGATTTATAAAGCAGCGTTCACAAATCACCAGTGCCCTTGGAAGATGAAAACAGGAAATCCCCTGTGCCTCAGTTTCCCCTTTGTAAAAGGAGGATAAAAATCAGTTCTTTATAATGACAAGGTTATAATTCTTGTTAACCTTGTTTCTCCCTAGGGGACCCACAGAGGTTATGGTACAGTAAAGCAACGCCAACACAACACCAACCTAACGACAATGCAACACCAACCCAACACAACACAACACCAGGCTGGTTTGCTGCTGTATGCAGCCAGCCCTGTGTTCCCTTGCAGAGAAGGAGCTGAGCAAGCAAAGCAGGGACTGCAGCCCTTCCCAGGAGGTGGAGATGGAGCAGGACAAGGCCACCCATGGGGTCAGCAGCACTCACCCAGGCGGAGTTGGACTGGTTGAGCTGGTTGAGCATGACGATGGAGGTGCAGCCGTAGTCGTACACCAACCGCCAGAAGTCCGTGGTGGTGTTCTGCAGCGGGTGCAGGGTGACGATGAAGGCAGCGCTCTTGGTGTAGCTCTGCAGAGAGGGAAGACGAGCACTGTAAGGATGTGGCAGCGGCACTGAAGCCTCTGCTGTCACATCCCCAGAAAACAGGGCAATCAGAAGATGAGTGCCACCAAAGCCATCTTCTCCATGGGGCATGAAAGCATCCACTTTCTGCTCTCAACTCTTGCAGGGGAGGGTGTTTTGCACAACTAACTGAGGAAAAGAAGTCACTTTTGAGGCAAGAACAAGCAGAAGCCATGGCTGCCTGATGGCTCCAGCCCTCAGCTCTGCATCCCAGTCCTGAGCAAAAGCATCACCCACAGCATCACCCCCACAGCATCCCAACACCTCCGGGCACCCAGAGCAGCAGAGACAAGGGGGTCAGGGAGGAAAGAAAACCCGAATGAAACACTCCAAGAGACTAAAAGAAGGGAGATAAGAAATGATTGTCCTTCTCATTGGTGCTTTAAATGCCATTTGTCTCCCTGGTCATCGCGATGCTGGCTTGCCAAGGGATGGGGAGCCCATGGCCAGGCTCCTCGCTGCATCAGACTCCTGAATTAACACACTTCAGTTCAAGCCTCCTCAGATACAGAAACAGAGCAGAAAATGCTCTGTACCCACAAGTTAGCACAGCTCTGCACTAATGGGGAGTGCTCTGGCTGCTGCAAAACCTCCTCATTTAGCTCATGGAAATGCCCTTTCCAAACCTTTCCCCCTGCTTCACCCACAGGGCAGCATCAAGAGCCCGAGGTCCCTGCAGCCGGCTCTCGACAAGAGCTTTCCACTCCCGAGGAGGAAGATGAGCCACAGGCGAAGGGGATTTCATCGGGTGTCACCCAGGTTTGCCTTGGCACCCGCAACCTTTGGCACCGGTGTAAACAACAGCTGCTGGTGCAGAGCACATCCTGCAGGATGGGCAGCACAGACCGATCTCCTCTGACACGGACAGACTGAGCAAACCGCTTTGGCACTTAAAGAAAATGAGGTTTTGTTTTCCTCCCCAAAATGGTTTTTATCCCTTCAGCAGAATTTCATCCAAAGGGCTTTTTCTGTCTGTAAAGAAATTTCTATTCTCTGACCCTGTAGCAGAGATTAAGGGAGGCTCAGTGATGTATAAAAATAAAATGGATATGCAAACATCAAGCATCTGAAAACAAAGCTCCAATCCCACAGCAGCCTAAGCCCACAGCCCAATGGGTGCTGCTCCCCAGCTGCCAGCACCCACCAGTTTACAAACTGGTTTTTGCTGGAAGAGCAGGTAACAGGGAGACAAGAAATCACCCGTGGGGTGAAAAAAACAGGACTCAGCTCAGTGCTGGTGCTCAGCCATGCCCAGGAGGATTTGAGGAAGGTGCCCGGGGTGCTGCGGGGCTCAGCGCTGCCCGTGCACAGCTCCTCAGCTCCTTTCAAGGAGAGTAAAGTGGTTTTGGTGATAAATGAGCCACCACTCAGTGCAGGCTCGGAGCCTGCAGCGTCCTCCCCGCTCTGCTTCACGCCTGTCAGCAGGTAGGAAACGGCTTTGCCAACACAGGCTCCTTTCTGACTACACCGAGGGTGTGCACAGCGGCTTTGGGAGCAGTTCAGAGCCCAGAATTGCAGCAGGAGGATGGGCAGAGGGTGCAGGGTGGGTGCTGGAGCACACGGGGGGGGTTCAGGGCTACCAATCCCTCCCAAAGCTTCCTCTCCCTCTCGTGCTCCACTTTTGCTACAAAATAATTGGAGACCCCTGTGCATGGCCTGCACAAGCAGGCAAAAAAGCATTTTCAAGACAAGATGCTGCTACACAAAAGAAGCGGTGAAGGACCCCTTCATGCCCTTGCGTAAAACAGGGCCATAAATTCAAACCGAGCAAGATTTTGTGGTGAAAACCTGCCCGAGATGACCCGAAGCGGCCCCTTCCCTCCCCACCACACACTCACATCGGTTAAGGCCGCGTTGATGTAGTTGTTGCTGTCTCCGTCCACGGAGATGAGGAAGGGGAGGCACCGGTCGGGTGGCAGCACGTCCATGCTGCGGTTCCTCTCCCGGTTGCGGGGCAGGAGGGCGATGCTGCACTCCTCCACGTCCAGGTGAGGAGTCACCGAGTTCAGGGTCTGTGGGGTACACATGTCCCCCCTTAGCTCCGGGGCCGGACACCCCTGCCCAAGCCTGCTGGTCCCTGCAGTGGTGGGCACCAGGGGGGTGAGGAGCAAGGAGGGTGTTTCAGGTGAGGATGCAGAGGTTTTGGGGCCACTCACCTGAAACTCCTCCCGCAGCTGCGAGGAGTTGCTCTGCGGCTCTATCCTCACCATCTCCTTGTAGGTGGGCTTGAACTCGCTGGCAGGGATGCTGGTCTCCCCGCACAGGCAGGCTTCAAGGATGGCGTCGTGGATGAAGACGTACTGCTCCTTTTTGGGATAAAAAAGAGGAAAGGGCTGAGCCTCCACAATCCGATGGTGACCTGCATGTCCCCCAGCGTCCCCGACACCCGCTCACCTCCGTCTGTATCATGTTGATCCTCCGCGAGCACAGGGTCTTCACGCAGTTGTAGATGTCCACGACGCCCTCGCACTCGGCCATGTCCAACATAACGTCCAGGACGATGTAGCAGCCGGTCCTCCCCGTGCCAGCGCTGGGGATGGAGGAGGAAAACACAGCAAACACATTCCCGATCTGCACAGCACCCACACACAGCCCGGGATGCACAGAGCAAGGTCTGGGGGGTGAGGGCTCCCTGCTGGGTATGCAAGGGCAGCCAGGGTCCAGGCAGGGCTGCCAGGACCTCACACCCCCCTGTAACCACAGCCTGGTTTTGCCTAAAACCACCCCCCTGCAGTGGCCTGGGTGCTGCGTGATGGTCAGGCAGTGGGTGGCAGGGGGAAAACCCATGTCTAAGGTTCATTTTTACTTTAAGACATCAATATATATGTATTTTTGCAACAAAAGCAGCAGCTACACCATCTGAATGCTGACAGTCCTCGGATCCCACCCTGAAAGGGCCAAGGAGGATGCTCAGCTCAGAGGGGTCTGAATCCCCTTGGGGGGACCCTCAGGGTAAGGATGGCCAGAGCCAGACAACCCCAGCAGCGGCAATATCCCAAATCCCAGCACGGTTGTACTTGCAGGCAAAGAGCTCCTGGATGCTGCGACTCCCCCGCACCGCGTAGGGAGCAGAACCGCTCCCCCCACACCTTTCCTACCAAGTCTTTTCCAGTGAAATACTAATTTCTGGGGCCGATGAATCACTCGCCGTGATTATCAGTGATTACAGGCTAGGGCACTAATCACACTCGCTGTTGCTGGTGAATGAATACTGATGAGGCAATTGACAGGGAGAAATCAAATAAAAAAAATATTACAAAAATCCCTCCCGCTCATCAGCTCCTCCTTGTTTGCCCAGCGGAGGAAGAGCCATTAAGCCATCACGTGGGGACACAAAGCCACCACTCCTGCTCAGACGTGTCAGCGGTGTCCCCATGGGGACAGCCCTGTGGGTAACCCTGTCCTGCTGTCCCCCTTTGCCTCTCCCTTCAGTCAGACCCAAAGTCCTGACCGTCAGCAGCTGACCACCCCTTCGTGCCACCCTTGTCCACTGTGTCACCACTAACGGGTGCTGGGGCAGCCCCCAAAAAAGCGCTGCTCCCTGCTTGCCCCCTGGACCAGTCACAGCTTCCCCCATCCCTGCTGCCACCAGCCTGGAGGTGACATTTTACAGCTGGATGCCACTGTAGAGGGACATCCAACCCCACACTGTCAGCCTCTTCCCTGTCCCAGCCTTTCCTTGCCCTGGACCCAATTCCTACATTTTACCTCTCCCCACTGAATATTTTACCACCATTCAGAGCTTTTAGCATCATTCAGAGCAAGAAGAGCACCCAGACACCACATGCTCCCCCTGCAACCACCCATACACCCTCCAAACCCTACCCCAGAGGAGGATGCTCCCCCCAGAGCCTTCCCCACACCCCTCACCCCCTTTTTTAATCAATTTTTAGATACCTGCAGTGGATGACGATGGGACCGGCATCAGGCGGCGTGGACGCCTTCACCCTGCGGATGAAGGCCAGCAGCCCCGTGGCGTGGTAAGGGACACCGTGCTCGGGCCAGGACGTGAAGTGGAACTGCTTCACCTCGTGCCGGGCTGAGTAACCCCGCTGCAAGGGAAGGCTGAGCTGGAGTCAGGGTGCGCGGGGAGGGCAAAGCCACCCCAACACCTCATTCCCTTGGGAATCCATGGTTTTGCCAGCTCAGCATCCACCCACATGGACCACACAGCAGTTGGCCACCTTGGCAACGCAACTTTTCACCTCCTTGGCTGCAAGAAGGTTAAAAAGCAGCTGAGGAAGAGGCAGCAGCCATGAGTCTCGTTCCCTGCCCTATACCTAGCCAGCAATTTCACATTTCTGTAGGGGTAAATGGCACCAGCTCCATCCCCAGGTACCACAGTGGAGGAGTGATGGCCACATAACCTGTGCTCCAGTTCGGAGCAGAAAAAGCATCCTTCACCCCACTGCAATTTCTTGGTGCTCACACTGAAATTAAATCCCTGCTCGCTGCCAAAACCAAAGCAGGGCTGAGCCACTCACCCCGGTGAAGCCAAGGAAAAGGCAAAGGAAGACGCTACCAGCATCCCCAGGGTTCACCTCAACCAGGGGTGGAAGCCCCGTATTGAGGTAAAAAACCAGACTATTGGTAAATGCCAATCCAGCAATGGTTAGAATACCCAAGGCAGGGCTGGGGAGCAGGACCGTACCCTCTCGAGAGCGAAGGTGCGGACAGCGTACTCGGCCAACGTCTCTGACTGCACCAGGGTGATCTTGATGTCCCCGTACATCTCAGAGTCATCTGGCCAATATTTGGAGCACTTCACCTGCAAGGAGAGGACAGGACGGGCTTTCAGCTCTGTGGAGGAGGCTGCTGGCAGAGCCAGAGCCCGGAGGGAGCAGCAGGGGACAGGGTCCTTACCCGGCCCACCTCCACCAGCTTGGTTATCATCACGATGCTGGAGCAGTGCTCCTGCCACACCATGCGCCAGAAGTCGTACACCATCTCCTGCTTGGGCCCTGTGGGACAGAGGAAAGGCCACGGGGAATGAAGTCCGGCCACCGCAGCACCACAATGTCCCCACATTTCCCCTCCTGCAGCATTTTAAGCACTCTTTTCCCCAGGGATGTGTGGTGCAATGGGGTAGCAGAAGGGGTGGGAGCTGCTCCGTGTTGCTACCACCCTCTTCAGCTCAAAATTGCCCCATTCCCTCCCTTTCTTGCCCACACAAGATTAAATCCCAGTGACAAAACCCACGTGAGGCGACTCACCTTGTGTGGCAATGAAGTGGTTGGACCTGTGGTAGCCCTGCAAAGGGAGCAGAGACGTCAGGCCCAAGTGAGGGGGACATGGGCACAGCCCCGTAAAACATTTCCCAGTCACTCAACTGGTGGCAACTGCCCATATCCACTGGGCCAGGGCCAGGTCACTGGTGCGGTGTTACTCACCACTGCAGAAGGGGGCTCAGCAGCCACCCTGCACCCAGTGCAACCTATCCTGGGATGGTGCACATCCCACAGAAAGGTCATGTAACCCCCAACTCTCACCCCTGTCCTGCACCAGAACCCCCAACTGCACCCCATGGGTGTTCCTGGGGTCCAGTGGCTCAACCCTGGCTCCTGCTGCCGCCACCATCACTGCAGCATCACTGTGAGAGCCCACTGGTGATCCCAAACTGCAGCAGCCATGTAATGCTGGGTGACAGCCCCGCTCCCTTCCTTCATCCCAGCTGCTTACTGGGGCCATCCCAACTCTTAACAGGGACGTGCCAGCCCAAAGAGCACACCTCTGAGGCCGCTGCCCAAGGGACTAGGGACCTGGTGTCCCACCCCTTGGCCATGGGTCCAGCAGAGTTCAACCACACAGAATCACAGAATCATTAAGGTTGGAAGAGACCCCCAAGATCATCCAGTCCAATGTCAACCCAACCCCACCATGGCCACTAAACCATGTCCCCAAGTGCCACATCCAGGTGCTTCTTGAACCCCTCCAGGGATGGGGACTCCACCACTGCCCTGGGCAGCCCCTGCCAGTGCTTGACCACTCTTTCAGTGAAGAAAATTTTCCCAATATCCAATCCAACCCCTCCCTGGCACAACTTGAGGCCATTTCTCCTTCTCCTATCACAGCTACCAGGGAGCAGAGACCAACCCCACCCTCGTTGTCCCCTCCTTTCAGGAGCTACAGAGGGGATAAGGTCTCCCCTCACCTCCTCTTCTCCAGCTGAACCCCTCAGTTCATCACTCATCACTCAAGCTGACAGTGGCTCCTCCAACCCCTGTGGGTCCTTTCCTGGGTTAAATTCAACCCCTTCTCCCAGCACACAGTCCCTCCATCATCCTGGGAAGGATGTGCCATGGAGACGTCACTTTTCCCTTCCATATCCACATTTATCCACACATTTTCCCAGCCTCCCTCTCCCAGTTGCTATTTAACACCACGCTGCCCAGTGCGACGCCTGGGAGAGAAAGGAGCAGAGAGGAACCATTTACTTACTTCTCGGTTAATCCGAATCTTAACGATCCCATTAGGACACAGGTTTGAGAGAAAAAGATCAGAGACGGAGACATTAGTGAGACACAGCTCAAGAGATGGGTTAGAGCCCCAGAGAGGGTCATGGAGAGCCACAGGGGAGAAAAGGCACATGGGGACAGGGGACAGGCACGAGGATGCTGCTGGGGCACAGGGAACGCATCAGGGTGGCATCAGGCCACCGGTGACAGGTGACATCCCCTGGAAAGGAGGGAAGAGTGGGATTTGCTGCTGCATCCAGGAGATGCTCGAATCCTACATCCAACGGAGCCTTCCTGCACCTCCCCTGCCTGGCCTCAGCATCGCTGGAGGTGACAGGGGACACCACTGCTGGGGGACACCAGGGCCGAGCTCTGCCCAGGCTCAAATACACTGACAGGATTGGGGGTACCCTTGTGTGAGCCCCTAAACCTCTGCATCCTCCACCCAAAGAGGGAGATCCACAGCCACGAGAGGACAGAATAGGGGAGGAAAAAGGAAAGACAGAGCAGAGCAGAGAGACACAGTGAGCAGAAATTGCTGATGAACACAAACGGGCAGGCTCTCCATGGAGTGCCCCAGGCTCGCATGGTCTGGCCCATCTTGGGCCATCTCAGCTCCTCCAAAGGCTGATGGTTCTTTGGGGACAGACCCTGGCAGCCCCTGGGGTCCACAGGACACTCCTGTCCCAGCCCAAATTCCCCCGAAGAGAGGCGCCGTCCCCACTTACATCGATGTAGTTGGCGTTGATGTAATCCGAGTTGGGGTCGCCCAGCAGCGGGTGCAGCTTCACTCGGTGGCGGTCGTCTGGGGAGCAAGGGGAGAAGGGGCCGTCAGCGCCTGGGGGGGGACCACGGGGACAGCACATCCCCCCCCAGGTCCCAGGGCACCTTTAAGAATTGTTTTGCACCAGGAATCTGCAACACGCAGCAGGGTGGGACATATTCAGGAGCAAAACTCATGCTGGTAGAGGTCTTTTCAATGATAGTGGGACATGGGCTTTCAGCACAGCATCTCCTGAGCTCTGCCCGGTCATACCACAGGGCACCCACCCTGCTATCCACCCCAGCAGGGAACCAGAAAGCTCTGCCCAACCTCTGGTGTCCAGCTGGGGCCCTGGACAGTGCTGGAGTGGAAGGGGTGAAGCTGCAGAGCAAAGCACATGGGAGGTGGAGAGCACCAGAGCTCCTGAGCATCAGGCTTAGAATCACAGAATCACAGACTGTGTTGCGTTGGAAGGGACCTTTACAGCTCCTCCAGTCCAACCCGTGAGTCAGCAGGGACGTTGGTACCAGATCAGGTTGCTCAGAGCCCATCAAGCCTGGCCTTGAATATCTCCAGGGATGGGGCCTGCACCACCTCTCTGGGCAACCTGTGCCAGTGCTCGACCACCTCATGGGGAAGAGCTTTTTCCTCGTATCCAACCTAAATCTCCCCTTTTCTGGTTTAAAACCATCATCTCTCATCCTATTGCTCCATGCCCCAGTGAACAGCTCTTCCCCAGATTTCTTATAGGCAGGTATTGAAAGGTCGCTATAAGGTCCCCCCAGAGCCTTCTCTTCTCCAGGCTGAACAGCCCCAACTCTCTCAGCCAGTCTTCATAGGAGAGCTGCTCCAGCCCCTGACCATCTCTGTGGCCCTTTGCGGAGGCTTGGTGCCTCCAGGCATGTCACCGGAGATGCAACAGGAAGCAAGGTGGCCACGCCACACTGACTGTGAAGGGAGATGGTGAGGAGCATCCTCTGTTCTATGGGATCAAGCCCTTCTGTCCTAAAATTCCTCACTTAACCCCTTCGTCCGATCCTGCATCAAGCTCCCTAGGGCAGGGCTGTGGTTTCTCATAAATCCATACAAGAAAACACACTCCAGGTTACTTGGGGCTTTCCAGCACCACCCAGAATGCCATGGTGATGCTATCATCAGTTTTTAAGCACTCCAAGATGTTCTGTGTTCAAGAGTTACTCAGATCCAGGGACCAATGCTGGCCCAGCCCCATCCCTCCAACCTTCCCTATGTCCCATGGCCAAAAGGAGCTTTTAGGCTGGGCCCCCTGTGCTGAGCAAGGACCAACCAAACCCCATCAGTTTATTCCTTGCCATGGACTGCACACCTATCAAAAAAACACCCCCAAAACCCTTCAGAAGGTTTTTCAAGGTGCTCAGGGTGTACAAGCCTTTGCTAAAGGCACTCACATGTCGAAATGTGATCCTGTCTCCCTTTGGTCTTGTCTTTCTTCTTCGAAGCATCCCAGCCTTCAAAGAAACTCTGTAAGGAAAGGGTGACCATCACCAGGGAGGGCAGAGCTGCGGGGTCCCCCCCAGCCCCACAACCTCCCAAGGGAGCTGGGCAGACAGGAGGGTCCCTGCACCCCAACGCTTGCACCCTGCAGCCCCAGCTCCGTACCACGCTCCACCAGCCACACGCTTCTGTTGCATCCACTAAATGCCCCATTTTCCAGCAAATTATAGACTGCCTGGTTTTTCTCTTTTCCAGGGTTGGTTGTGGTTTTTTCTCTAAACCTCCCCGGTCCCTTTCTCTCTCCGGCACAGAATAGGTTTGTGTGTAATAACAGTAACATTCACAGATTGGCGTAAGAGGAGGAAAGTGGAAGGAAATTACATGTTTTCTCCCCTCCCATAATATCTGAGTGCTTTCAAATGACTAGTTCCAAGAACATACAGCAGCTTTTCAAGGAGCATTAATGATTATAGCAAGCCTCGGTTTGTCCAATACATGAAAAGGGGGGGAAAGGAAAAAAAAATCCCTCCTGCACTTGAAACAACTAAGCCTTAAACAGTAATTTCACTGGGAAATTTCAATCGCCAGGCCTCTGGGACACTGAGTCGTCGGGAAATCCACCCCGCTAGGCACACTGCAGCAGAGGCGTGTGGAATAGCACACTGTGTTACAAGTGATCCAGCCCAAGGAGGTGGGATGGACGTGATGTGGTCAACACCCCTAGTGGGGGACTCTTTTCCCCTGGGATCACCCTCAACTGTGTCCTCTCCTCAGGGTCTCTCAGAAGCTGCCGGACTGCAGAGGATTTAGGTTGTGTCCATGCCTGCCAAAGGACAAATGCACTGGAGAGCAGAACAGGATGTCATGGTGCTCAGGAGGAGCTGAGGAAGGGAGAAGCCCCTGGGGAAAGGTAGGATGATGCACTACAGACAGCAGAGGTGCAGGCCAACAGCGTTGGTTTGGCTCATCTCAGAAACTTCTTCAAACCAACAATTAAATATTGAGCTGCCAGGACCAAAGATTTGACCCAGACCCAGGGACACCCCACAGGCTGATACCTGTCCAGAGCCGTGAGCTCCAGCTCCTGCTGTCCAGACCCCTGCAGCACCTTTTCCTTGCACACACGTCCTACCTGTACCAACTCTTTCACCCCACCTCGCCCACCCCCCCCAAGACACCTTGACCAAGACGCCCTCACCTCGTACTCCTGCTTGAAGCCGTAGCCTTCCGCCGTCTTCATCTGGTTGATGTGCTGGAGGAGATCCGCCACGCGCACGGCGGGATGGAGCTGCCCCGTGTGATATGGGGACTTTCCTTGCACACACGTCCTACCTGTACCAACTCTTTCACCCCACCTCGCCCACCCCCCCCAAGACACCTTGACCAAGACGCCCTCACCTCGTACTCCTGCTTGAAGCCGTAGCCTTCCGCCGTCTTCATCTGGTTGATGTGCTGGAGGAGATCCGCCACGCGCACGGCGGGATGGAGCTGCCCCGTGTGATATGGGGACCCTTTTCGGCCACACTGGCGGCGGGGGGAGCCCCCCAGCAGGCTGCTGGACTCGTTGACCACGCTGCTGCGCTGGTCGCCTGCAGAAAGGGTGGAAAAACCAGGGCCATCAGAGGAGCAAAGCCTTGGACCACAGCCCTATCACCACCTCACACCCGTGGAGAGGTGAGAGGGCACCTGAAAGCATCCCCAGGAGATGCTGGTGCTGCAGCTGGTCTCTCTGCGGACCACAAGTGGTCCAGACCTCCTCTGTGCTCTCTGCAGCTCATCTTACATCACAAAGCCAAAAACACCCATTACAGCCATTAAGGCCCGCAGCAGAGCTCTTAGAAATCAGTGGGTAAGAACTTCTGGGGGTTAATCAGCCTATTTCCCACCGCTTGGAGCAATTCAGTCCCATCCAGATGAGCAAGAGCTCCGTGCCCAAATGTTCAAAGTCCTGACATGAAAAATCACATTGCCAAAGTCTCCAGCCCAGCTTCATTTTCCTCGCTGCTAGACACCAGCGCCTTACTCCTACGGCTGACACAAACAGAGTCGGCTGCTGTTTAATGAGGGAGTTTACGCAGTATTTACCCAGTTTATGCCTTTGCCGTGTAATTACCAGCGGAGCCAGACTGAGACCTCGCCTGCGCCTGTCAGAGCAAGGTCTCACGCTGAAACCGGGGTCTGCACAAAACCCGGTGCCAAGAGACGCAGCACGGACGGAGGCTGCAGCACCCAGCCTGGAACACAGCCACGTGCGAGACGGAGCATCCTGGATGCCGTTTCCCCTAACAACACGTCCGAAAACCGCCCTTGCTGTCTCGTTTTTGGGGGTTTTATTGGTCTGCTCAAATGCAAGGAGCAGCCCCTCGCCTCCTGCCTGCACCTCCCGGCTGCTCCTGCGACATGGGTGCAGTGTGGGTACAATATTGGTGCAGCACACGCACAGAGCAGGGCCTCCATCAGGCATCACAGCCTGAGGAGATGAAGCTGCAACTTTTGCAACCAGAACCATCTCCCTCCCAGGCTGAAACCCCTGCTCATGGCACCAGCCACTGGGTTTAATGAGAAATTAATCGCAGATGTTTGCAAGGTGCCGATGGCTCCATGCAGCCACACACTGAGGACCCGCTCGGGTTTCCATGAGGATTAGTGCCTTATTTTTTAAATGCAAAGAAACTGAGGCATGGTGGCCCCCAGCCCCATACATTTATCTTCATTAATTAACAATACTTATAGGCAGGGGATGGGAGCAGCATGCAGCCCCCTCCCCTAAAAACCCTGAGGACCAGCGGCCCCAGCTCAGCACACCCAGAGACCCAGCAGCCTCCGAGCATTTTGAGGAAAGTAACTGAAAAATCATCCACCTCACCAGATGTACGAAGAGGAGGAAAAGTTTGCCCTCTGGGCTTCTATTATCCGCAGACAATGCCGGGAAGTGTATTAATCCCCCAGCCGGTAGAGCAGCGCCGGGGGTAAGCAGCATCTTGAAGTTACTGTAACAGATGTTATTAGCATATGGCGGAAACTGGGGCATCCGACGAGTTATTTTACAACTAAATCAGCGCCGAGACGCATCCTCCGGTGGGTGTGAAATTCTCTGTCTCTCTCTGATGAAACCCTTCGAAGGGTTAAAGCCCCATTTCTTATCATTAAGATCGATGCCTTTGGAGTCTTCCACGGAAAAGCCTGCAACGTGCTACGCACACCAGGCTAAAACAGGCACAATATCAGCTACTGAGCCTTGGATAAGTATTTCAGCTGTTGCTGGGATATTTAGGGATTAGGGTGGGACGGAGAGGGGATGTGGAGGTTCCCCGTCCTTACCCCGGTTGCTGTAGTTGTGGGTGTCCATGAAGGAGAGCCCCAGGCGCTCGTCCTCCTGCAGCGTGCTCTGGTCGGTGAAGCTCCTGTCGATGGCGCTCATCATGTGCGTCTTCTCGTGGCGGTAGTTGATGGTGGCTTTGGTCATGTTGACGGGCTTGCTGCAGGGGGAGGCAAAGGGGAGGAGGGGGAGAAGCACATGTAAGCAGGGCTGACCTGAGGGTGCTGTCGATCCCCTCAAAGCTACAAGGGTCAGATTATGATAGGACAAGAGGTGATGGTTTTAAACTGGAAGAGGGGAGATTTAGACTGGATATCAGGAAGAAATTCCTCCCTGTGAGGTGGTGAGGCCCTGGCCCAGGTTGCCCAGAGAAGCTGTGGGTGCCCCCTCCCTGGCAGTGCCCAAGGCCAGGTTGGACGGGGCTTGGAGCAGCCTGGGCTGGTGGAGGTGTCCCTGCCCATGGGGGTTGGACTGGGGGGGGCTGTGAGGTCCCTTCCAACCCAAACCATGCTGTGATTCTGTGAGTATTTTGGGGAGCAGGATGGATCATTTCCACCAGCAGTCACCATGCTTTGGTTTTATGGTGTCCCACATGAATCATCCCTTGCTGGCTGCAGCAACTCCAGCTGCTCATCCTCAATATCCCCTCCTCAAAATACTCCAAATCCAGACCAGCCGGGAGCACTCCTCATGCAAGTGAAGGCCCTCCCTGTGCAGCCGGTGTCTAAAGGCCCCTTCTAACCCAAATCATTCTGATTTTAAAACCATGCTGAGGGGCCAAATCCATCCCCCATGGGATGGGCTGGACCTCCTGCCTGCACACGTGCTCAGCACCCATCGGGACTGCAAGGTTCCCATTAGGCACGTAATGAAGATGTTGGGCAAACCCAGGAGGTGTCACTGAGACAGAACCTCACACCCTTAATTTGAGAAACTTAGGGGAAAAACCTCATTGAGTGTGTTTGAGAGGCAGCATCAGCTCCCAAGAAGCCAGAGCAGAGATTAAACCAGGGGAAGGATGAACAGGAGATCCAAGCCCACATCGGCATCACGGTGGGGCCGGGACACTGCAAGACACTGCCAAAATCCAAAATTCAACCCAAAATCGCTGATCCTTCCCCTTCACACTGCTTTTGGTCTCTAATGAGCTCGGCAGCATTATTTTCATGGAGTCAAAGAGGCCCCTAAAATGCATTCAGTGGAGAAGAGGAGCTGTTGGAGCAACGAGGCCAGGGGAGAGAGAAGGGCGATTACTTACGGGTAATAGGAATAAGAATAGTAGTTCCTCCTGGCAAGCATGCAAACAAAGAACAGCAGAAATTGCATAAGCAGCTTTTCTCCGGCATAGGGAAGGGGGGTGACGGGGCAACGCGGCTGACGGAAAATTAAATGCACCGTAAACAAAACTGGTTTCCTTTTGTATCCGTAGGTCATTTAACCCAGGCAGAGCCCAAGCACCGGCTCGCGGGGTGACCAGGGTCCCCACACCGGCAGTGGGGTGTTCATAGCGCCCTTGTCTGAGGGTTATTCCACAACTTTTAAGACCAACCAGAAAATGTATTGAAAACATAAGGCATGCTCTGGCAAGGCAGTTAGGGCCAGGCAGCCCTGCTGAGGGACATGGGGTCAGGATGGCGCATTTCCAGTGCCCCATGTATGAGGGGTGAGCATATTTTGGGGGTGCATTTCCATCCCACCACATCAGCGTTTTTCCAATCTCCAGAGCAGATTTAGGGCTCATCCCAGCCTCCCAACAGCACCAAATTTGGGAGACTCAGAGCCAGTTTGTGGCTCTGCTTTGTCCCTTGGCACGTTCACCCCAGGATGCTGATGCCACAATCGCGGCTTCCCACTCGCCGGCCCAAAAGCATCGCTCCCAAAAACCCAACGGCACCAATACCAATGCTCCAGCAAGGCCTGATCCGATGCTGGACGCACCAGCACCATCCCAGCACTGCAGTGGACAGGGAGCCACCCTCCAGCCCTGCACCCTGGCAGCGCGCAGGGATGTTTCAGCCTTGCGTAAATCAGCGAGAATCCTTTAAGGGCAAACGAAGCCTTAAAGAGCTCTGCAGATTTACAGGGCTGAGGTTGTGCCCTGCTATTTTTCTCTCCCCCTGGCTGTTAACGTACTTTCCTCCCATCCTCCCGAGCCTGCACGGGGAAGGAGTTTAATTGCTGCCTTTTCTCTCCTGTTTTGAGAGCCCTCCCGGCTCAGCCCCACGCTTTTTCTGAGTGAAAAGCAACGGCCGCATCCCTGGCGCTCCCGGGGATGAGTGTCCCGAAAAGCCCCTCGCCCTCCTCCCTCCCACCCTGCCGTGACCCACACCAGCCACGCTCAGCTTCCTGGAGAGGGGGGACCCCCGCGAGGGTGGGAGAGCAGTTTGGGGGTCCCCAGGAACCACCAGCCCTGGGAAAAGCTCCCCTCCAGCGTGCACCCAAATTTCAACACTTCATTTAGAGCCAGCTGGAAGCTCTCAGCCAGGGGTTGTGCACCTTTCACTTGAAGCTCCATGGTTCCCCATTAAAACCAGCCCAGGAGGAGCTGGGATATGCTGAGCATCCACACACCGGGGCACCCAGAGCAGGCAGGAGAGGAAGGGGATGCTGCTTCTCCCAATGCTCTCCAGGAACCGGAGCCCAGGACAAGGGCCAACGTCCCCAGATTCAGCCCTGGGCTGGCCAAGGCAGTGGGGAAAACCCAGAAACAACATCCCAGTGCAGGTTAAGCTGATTTTTGTCATTTAGGGCTGGAGGGGTGCAGGGCTGCACACTCCAGGGTCCCCCAGTTGCTGTCAGCAGCAGGAGAACTGGTGGAACAGCCTGTCCAGATGTGTTTCCAGTGATGAAGAATGGACAGAGCAGCACAAAGCCAAGAAGCAGCAAAAAAAGTGGCAAAAGACTAAAAAATACATGGGAGAGGGACAGCAGAACAAAGCTCCAGAGCCCTGAGGGCAAAGGGACACTGCTGGGACTTCCCTCCTTGGTCCCCAGTGCCTCATATCATGCCCAGTGCCACAGAGCAAGGAAGGCACCATGGCCAGGGGGACTGCACCAGCGCATGGAGGTACAGCTTGAGGAGGGTGTGGAGTCTGCCCAGTATCACCACCAGTAACTCCCAGTTAGCGCTGGGGTGGTGAAGGGCTGAGGAGGGGATGGGTGGAGGCGCCGGCCGTGACACCAGCTCTCCTTACCCTTTCCGAATGACAACGATGATGGCTCCCAGGAGGATGATGAGGACGATGAGGCCTCCGGCACAGATCCCCAGGATCAGCCCCATTTCCTCTGAGTGCTGCGACACCTCCAGGGGACGTTTGCTCTCTTTGCAGGCAGCTGCAGGGGACAAGGACAGGCAGGAGGGGTCAGTGCTCAGCTCCGGGGGCGGTTGGACACATCAGATGGGAAAACACTGGGATTTGTCCCATGGGATGCACATTGCAGATCAAATATGTTTTATTCCACCAGGATTTTACAGGGCTCTGCAGTGCCACACCATGACCGAGTCCCCCTTGGTCCCCATGGGGTGTGACAGTCCCTCTGTGCCACCTTTTGTCACGTCCAACGTAAGCTTCTGCATCCCTGGATTCAGCACCCAGCACCACCACCCAGTACCGTTCAGATTTGGTACCCCTAACCTCAATATTCCACCACGATAATGGCATTACAAGGAAAATCTCAACCAAGGGAAAAACACGGATACCAAAGAAAGCAGAGAACAATGGGATGGGATGGGATGGGGATGAACCACCGCACACACCCCAATCGCCATCAGGGCTCACCTTTGCGGGCGATCCGGACGCAGTTCAGCCGGGTTTCCTATGGAGGAAAAAAAAGGGGAAATCAGTGTGGGATGAGCATCCTGGTGGCTCCACGATGGGCAGAAGCAAGGCTGGTCTGTTGATGCTCTGACCCCAAAACTGAGGGAGTTTGCAAGTGATTTGTGCTCAGCGTCCACTGCTGAGCCAAGGAAGCTCCGGGGGACACACACACCAAGTGATGCAGCTGAATGATCAGTCCCCAGTGTCCCCTAAAGTCCCCAGGTTTAGCCGAGGCCATTGCTCCTGGCACAGAGGGGACTTCAAAGGACGGACTAAGCCGAGCCGCAGGTCACCAGACCATCACCAACCACAGCTGAAACACTCCCAGCTCAGCATTCACAGCTTCATGGGGTTTTTTTCCATCAGTCAAGGTTTCCAAGCCCCATTCCCACTGCTCTGTGTGTGCTGCCGAGGTTGCCATGAGGGCTTCCAGCTCAGCTCCCCAACACTTTAAACATTTGCATTTTTTCGGGATGGGTTCAGCTGAAATATTCCATCTTTCCACGAATCCAACTTGCATTGCAAAATAAAAAGCCCCATTCTGGGGCACTGCCTTCCTGCCCACGCATCCTCCAGCCCCTGGGGACACCAGCGCTGCCAACATTGCTCCATCTGCCCTCGGACCACGACCTGCCCGGGGCAGGGCCGGCTCCGGCACCACTCTCCCCAGCATCGCCAGCTCTTCCTTCTCCTGCTTCTTGCTCCATCTGGCACAAAAACCATAAAAAACTCCACATTGGGATCCAGCTTTTTCGCAACGCCTGATGGCAGCCGGGAAAAATCCATCACCTCCCAGCAGGAAGGCCATAAATGAGCGTCAGTCACCAGTTATTATCCAGCAGTGCCCCAGCGAGCCAGAGCCGAGCTCCTCCCCATCCGCCTGGGCTCTAACTCCAACCCAGCGAGGTGTGAACCATCTCGGAGCCGAGGAAAGGATTCAAAAAACCAGCACTTTCCTGCAAGACAGAGCTGCAAGGGATGAGGATGCTGCCGTGGTCCTGCTGCTCCGCTGGCACAGCTCATCCTCCCCAGGCTGGGATGGGAGCTGCCGGCACAGGTGAAGTCTTTTAAAAAAGGTCCCCATGGGGTCACGGTGGTCCCGACAGTGACTTGGAAGACTTCAACTCAGTGGATGCTGCCGGAGCGGAGTTGTTATGGCTTCACCACAGGAACAGGCAGCAGCAGGCAGGAGAACGCAGTCGGGAACTCAGCAGCTTCCCCAGGAGCTCGCTGCAGCAGCCGCTGTGTCCACAACCAGTCCCAGTAACACAAACGGCTCCCATGGCCCAAATGGTCCTTTTCCACCCCAGGATTAGCCCAGGGAGCGGGGTCTCCCCGGCTCTGGTGTTGGTTGGGGTCCCGGCCACTACTGCAGTGGGTGGTGGAGGTTGGGCCCCTCCATTCCTGGCACCAGCACCAGGAGGGGAACAGGCACAGCCCAGGGGTGCTGGGAGGAAGGGGGACACCAGGTCACGTTCCCAATGTGCCGTAAGGGTGGCCCCAAGCATCAACTCCCCCTGGGAAGGGACTGAGGGTGAGCCCAGAGCAGGGGCCCAAAGGAGAGGGATCTAAACCAAGTCCCATTTATTCTGGATCCCTCCTTGCTGGTCCAACCGGGACCCCAGACACCCAGAGAGCAGGGTTCCTAAGGCTACTCACCCCTTTGAGGTTGCTCATGGCCTGGAAGTAGATGAGATAGGACTTCTTGGGCTCCAGTGGCGGGTTCCAGTCCCCGCTGTAGGTCTGGTTGTCCCCCACGGTGAAGGGTTTGGCTTCAGTGAGGCTGCTGGCAGGCAGCTCGGCCCCAAAATAGTGCACGGAGCCACGGGACACAGCGTCGTCGAAGGTGAGGGGCACCGGGAAGCACTCTGGCCCCCCCAGCTCCCGCTTGTGCTTCTTGGGCCGGTCCTCTTCTACAATGACCTGGTAGGTGCTGGAGAGGGCCAGGTACAGGTTAGTTTTGTGAAGAGGATGGTCCTGCCCTTCCTGTGATGCTCGACTCTGCCGTGCCACCCCCTTGGCAGGGGTCTCGCTCCCCCGCAGCCCTCACCTACCTGATGGGAGCCCCTCTGCCCTGCGCCGGCCGCAGCAGCACCGTGATAGTGCTCTCCGACTCGCCCAGCGGCGATGGCATGTCCCCGTAGTCGAAGGTGGGAGCTGCAAAGGGAGCAGGGGACAGCGGGCAGGGGTCAGGCCTGGGCCACAGGGACGTGCTCAGGGCTGCCCTGCTGCTCAGGGGGGGAAACTGAGGCACGAATGTAATCGAACGGTGTCAGGATTGTTACAAATAAGACCTAGAAGAGTTTTCTTTGAGTTAACATCACATTTGGGAGAGGAGCCATGGGTATGCGTCGAGGTGGGTTATTAACATCAGTTTGGCAAAGGGGAGGAGATGGGAGCAGGATCTGGCCCTGGCAGGACCCAAATGCTCCAGCCTCGAGATTCGCCTGGGGTCAGCATCACTCTGCATTATCACCACAGCATGAGCATCCCCCCCAGGGCAGCAGCACACCCCAGGCACCCCAGCAGAACCCCCAGACCAAGGTGGGACCCGGTGGTGCCCAGCACAGTGCTGTGGTCCCCAGGCCATCACCAGCAGCCACCAGGGTCTGCAATTCCAGTGCCTCCATTAGGGCTCACCTCAGCCCATTTGCTGCCGTTAATAGTGACGCCGCAGACATGAGCAAACAGCCCCGAGTACTGCCAGGCTGATTAACAAAGCTTAATTAATCCCTGATTTGTCCTCTGACAGCTCAGACACCAGCAGTGCGCTGGGATGGCCGGACTCCTCAGCCACAGACCCACGCTCAGCCCGGCCGATGGGGCTGGGGGCTGCCAGGGGGCTGCCACCACCCAGAGCATCCTTCAACAGCAGCAGCCAAAACCCACCAAGGACCCCATCAGTGCCATTATACACCAGTGCAGAGGAGAAATCCGAGGCGTGGAGCCCAGGGGAACCTACCCGAGATGTTGGTGGTGATTTCGGTGAGCGCCGTCTGGCCAAAACCCTTCCCGGTGCGGGCTCGGACGGAGAAGAGGTAGGTGGTGCCAGGGTGGAGGTTGGAGAAGACGTGGTAGGTCTCGTTGCGCAGTTTGGAGACGGTGCGGCGCGGGCCGGGCACATTGACGGCCGGGTCAGAGGACTCGATGCTCTGGTAGCTGATCTGTGGGGACGGGGCACGGCGTCACCAGTGGGACAGGGGACAGACCCCGTGTCCAGGTGGAGAAGGGGGTAAAGAGACAGAGGCAGAGGAGGGGATGGGGCAGCTTGGAAGGCAGGTGCTTTTTGGGGTGATGCAAAGCAGAAGATCATTGGAAAAGGCATTGCTGGGTGATAATGTTGACCCCAAAAGCAGGGGTCCCCAGAAGGGACACGCTCGGTGGGCAGGAGGATGATAGCTGGCTGGATCCAGGGGCAGCACTAACACTGCAGACAGCATTAATCCCCATGACCGAGAGCAGCGTGGCCCCCAGATCCCTCTACTGCATTCCCCCTGCAATGGGACCCTCCCGTGTCCCCATGGTCCCTCACGGGTGCTGTACCTCGTACTGCGTGATGAGGCCGTTGGGCTCCACTGGTTCCTCCCACTTCAGAAAGATCATGTCCTCCAGTGGTGTGAAGGTGAGGGACTCGGAGGCGATGCCCCCGGGCACTGGGGAAGGAAAGAGGACACACTGGGACATGCCCAGAAACCGAGTGGGAAGGAGAAATCCCTCCAGAAACCCCTCCAGGCTGGGGCAGCTCTGCTTTGCCACCAATCACCGTGTCCCCTCTGTCACCGCGTCCCCTCCGTCACCTCACCCAGCCCCACCACGACCCAGCAGACGGGGCCATGGCTCCCCACCAGGACAGGGGTGGTCTCGCTGTGGTCCTGGCCCCACTGGTGGCACTTTGCCACGGGGAGATCCCCACGCCACGGCACAGACCCCGCAGGGACCATTTCTGGCGTCTCACCCCATTTCCGACAGCACAGCCATAAGCCTCCCCACACCATCACTTGTCTGAGTTCACCAGTGTGAGGAAAGAAAAGCAAAAATGCCCTAAAAAATCCCTTTTCCCATCAAATTCAACTTCCCTGGAGCCACCAGCATCCTTGGGAGACATCACCAGCGCTCCCCACCATCAGGCCCACCACCCTCATCTGCAGACAGGCTTGGCCAGTCCCCGCCTTCTCCTCTAATTAACACCATGGCAATCATCACCACAAACAACAGCAGCAATCAACAGCACCAGGATCAATATTCACTGCTTCACCATGGATTTCTTCACCCAAGGGGGTCAGTGAGGACAGGAGAGGCCATGGCCTGGCAAAGACCACAATTCACCAGCAGCATCCTCTCAAACACCCAAAACACACACCCCCGCCTTGCAGAGGGACCTCAGCTCTCCCCATCTATTTCGGGCGTTTTTTTTGCAGCTTTTGTTCAGATCTAATTACGGGGCCGAGAGAGAGGAATCGCCTCCCGCGCGCTTCCCTCCGCGCAAATACACAATTTCCACTTGATTTACAAGTTAATTGAATCGGAGGCGCCGTGTCCTACACGTGCACACAAGGCACTTATTAAATTCACAAAGAGTTACGGAAACCTTTAGGGCGAGAATGTGTGTACCTATATAGAATTTTTTATATATATAGCTTATATATTTTTATAGACCTACACATAGATATGGGCACCACACACTTGGGCGTGCACCAGGTGGAGACTGGCAGAGGTGCACAACGGCTCCCAGGTGTGCGTATACCCCTCTGCCATCCAGATACACGCATGTATT